ATATGGGTTATAATGTAGAAAGTCTGTAGCTATATACCGAGATCTGTTCTGCCTTTAAAGCATGTCTTCTACTCTCACTCTTCCTTTCCTTATTACAGCATAAATCTGATTGTCATCATTGTTTCATGATAAGTTGAATTTCCAAAATAAATCAAGAGTTTACTATTTTACCACCAAATCCTCACTGACTTTGACTTTTCTGTACGTAGGATTCATATTTTAATAATATTGAAATCATGGTCCGCACTGCGGTGAATAAATGTGTACGATTGTGATCTTCACAGTGAAAGGGTTTATGACTAACAGCTTCGCCTATGTGCGATGACAAGAAAATTGGGGACTGTGTTACGTGAAGTCCTTCGACCGCTGAGGCCGCCGAACTACGTGGACACTTTGTTAATTGTAGCATTTTAGTATATTTAGTTTATTTGCTGGGAGTGGGTGGAAGTGCTATGCGATCCCTGCCGCCCCCCTCCTCGGCTAACAGTCTAAAGCCACGTGACTGAAGGCTTTCACAACACTCCCCACCAGCACTGATATTGGAAATTGAATATTGGAAATTGATTGACTTTTCGTTGAGACTGGAGTCCATCCCCCACCTAGAGTCCCCCAGCCTCAGAACTTCTGATGAATTCTCTACTTATATACTAGAAAAAATGTCTTCGCTAAACCATGTGGCCTCAGTAGACAAAACTTCCTGTTCATCTCCATCTGATTGCATACGCGCATGCGTATACCGATCACTATTAATGCGACTATATTAAGAAGCTGCGTTATATATCGTTATAAAAAGGTTTAGATTAATAGAAATGAAAGAAAGTTATAGTGCTTAGAAGGAGGCAATTCCGGGAGAAGTCCCTTAGGAATAAATTCGGAAAAATTAATTTCCAACCTCGCTGGGAGAGCTCAGCTGGTAGAGCATCGGTGTACAATCCGAAGGTCGTGGGTTCGAATCCCAGCGAGGTCGGAAATTAATTTTTCCGAAATTATTCCTAAGGGACTTCTCCCGGAATTGCCTCCTTCTAAGCACTATAACTTTCTTTCATTTCTATATCGTGTTTATCATAGTGCCATGCGGTCTTCATATTCATATCTTTAGATTAATAGACATTATATCATGTAGATGGTA